TAAAAAACAATACAACCGTAAACATGACTCGTGAGAGTTTGTCTGTCTGTTTTCGACATGGAACTTTGCACATATGTGTGGCAGTTCAAGTCGCCACACTACACTCGTTGAAGCACACAAACCAAGAGGAGAAATGCATAATCCAGGCAGTAAACAGAGGTGTGAGACAAAGGAATAGTAATAACGAGGAAAAAAAGAGTTTCATTGGAAATCATAAGTCACAAGGAGTGGAAGTATCTGCGCTAGCCATTGAGAACGATTTTGAGCCATGTCACCAATTGTTTCCAACCATTGGTTTTAACTGTCCCGAGGACTCCAACCAGTGAGGAAGTCTACACGCTCCTACGTGACTGGCTTAAACTAACTGTTCGGGATTTGATTGACTGATCAAGCCATGTTTTGGTTTGACCACCACTGTCTCTTTTCCAACTTGACCCTATGTCAGCTCACATTGCCCGTGGAGGAAGACAAGCAATGGCTAGGAATGCGTAGCATATGTCCTAACTATCTCGCTCAATCGATGTAACTTCACAGCCTCGTCTATTGATTCCCTTACCTATCACTCGACCAACGCCTAACCTCAGTATTGCTCACCTTATTATACCACTTCACACGGGAGATAGAACGCAGACACCTATGATCAAAGACAGCTAGCTGACATCTTCATGTCTTCCACTCTCAATGGCCAGGTCTCACAGCCATAAAGGAGGACGGAGCGGACTGATGAGCAGTACACACGCCCTTTGGTCCATAGCCAGTCGGATATCACGTCTACTAATCCAGAGACGGCGTAAACTGGCACATGTGAAACTAGCCCTCTGTATTCGTGCTGACATTTCGTCAGAGATCAACCTGTTGGGGCTGATGGTACTTCCCAAGTAAGTGAAGCCGTCACTTCCTATTTCTAATCTAGGGGTCGGTGAAGTCCAATCCTGCAACATCATCTTACATTTTACAGGGGCGAATCGCGTGCCAAACATACGAAGATTGCTGCTCAAGGTGTTCAGAAGACTCTTCATTTTGTCAGCGTCCTCGCCTAGAAGGACTATATCATCTGCGTATTCTAAGTCGACGAGATTATTCCCTGGTAGCAAGTCAATCCCTGAGTCACTGAAGTGAGTTAGGGTTAAGTGCATTAGTACATCTATAATGAAATTGAATAGAAATGGGGATGATGGGCATCCTTGACGGACGCCACTAGTCGTCACCACTTCAGGTGACAACTCGCCATAAGCCCTCACCTAGCTGCATGAGTACGAGTAGAGTGCCTTTACATCAGTGCAATGTATTTTCTTAATCTTAAGACTGTTTTTTTTCGACTCGTGACAGTTTATTATTCATTATCTTGCATACACGTATTAGATATATTTATTTCAAACTTTGACTATCTGTCTGTCTATCTATCTATCCTCTTTATTCATCTTCAGTATTATGTAACTTTGAATTTTATAACATTTTGACCAAATTTCAATATTGTGAATTGTTTACATTTGTATTGTTACCATATTATATTATTATTATTATTATTCTTATCACTGAATGAGTCATCTACTTGTACCTTGGTTATTATTGATATTATTATTAGTATTATCGTTTTTATTATTTGTATAATTCACAACATTTAACATTGGACATTGAACCCACACACCTCAGTCTAGTCAGTTAAAATCTAATACATATCGGTCCTTCTCCCAAAGTTACAGATCCAATTCACCAAATTCTCTCACCTATATTGTTCAATTACCAGAGACTGTTCACCTTAGAGGCCTGCTGTAGTTATCAGAACGTCCTAACCCGAAAATTATACTGTCTGATTCGGATTTCAAAGGCTGACAAGAGAGTTCCAGACACCACAAGAAGGGTGTGTTTCACGAAGGCTGGCCCGCCTATCTCCGGATATGGCAGTTCCATGGAAGTGGATACGGTTCTAACAAAGAAAAGAATACTCTTCCTAGGGCTCCCCCACCAAAGTCTCCGGATTCGATTGCTTTTTCGCAATGAGCACGCACTGAACCAAAGTTTCAACATGCATCAATCTCCGTAGACGGAGTCATGAATATTATAGGGGTGTGTGTTGCAACAGTACAATTTAGTGGCAATCGTGACAAAGCCTGCAAGCGTAAAATATCAGATACTCCATCTCTGTTTCGATATACCTGATCAATTAGGACCGCCTGAGCCATGGATAACTGCTGTTCGCATGAAACCCTTCTCCACTTCGGACTTTAAGGTTTTCACTTGAATATTTGCTACTACCACCAAGATCTTCGTTAATGGTTGATTCACCTAGATTTACGCCTGGGGCTTTCCACAGAAGCCACAGAGACCCTCTTACTCGTCTCTGCCTCTTCATGTCTGGATCAAGTCAGTTCGCCCTCATCCTGCTTAGGACCAGGTAACAACAACGGTACGGTATAGGTGTAATTATCGAGCGCCATCTATTTTCAGGACTGGTTGATTCGGTAGGTGAGTTATTACACACTGCTTACCGGTTTCCAACTTTCATAACTGCCGTCTCTCATTTTCTTCAATAATAAGTAAGTATGTAGAAGTTCTTTGCAAGCTCACGGTAACTGGTTCTTATTACACCGAAATGAATGATCTTTGCTGGTTTGTGGGCTTTCTAGTACACACTTCAACAATATCTGAAGATGATATGATAGAGAAGATTTGCAGCTCAGGTGGATGATTTTGATGTGGTTGTTCTCTCTGAGCTGGATAGTTAATTTGCGAAGCTTTCATCACCCTACTAGGTGACATCTTCAGCGCATACTTCAATTTGAATTGAAGTGAGCTTTTAGATTTCTCCACGAGTTTATTAATCATCTCTCCTAGTGGTGACCTTGGACGTGACCCTTCAGCTGCTTTCGTGTGTTTTCACACCTTCTAGGCTACATGTATTGATACTAACTGTTTCCTTGACCTGAAGATTGACTCTTTGTGTGTGAGATTTCCTTCTTATCGGTTGGTAAATTTAGTCTATCTCGATGTGTCTATTGATTTATGATTCACTGGAATACCAGGCTTCTAAAAATTCTCTAGCATTCTTGGTGTTTCCTCTGTCTAATATTTGAACGCTGGTTGTCCCAGTCGAATTGATGTCCGTGGTTGTCTGTATGCAGTGAGGCGATATGAGTGAGGGAGTGGATGTCATGTCTTTTGACGGCTAGTTAGTTTATGTTCGTGGATACGAAGACTTTGGCCAATGTAGTGTTTTTCGCAGTTGTTAAAATTTATTTTGTAGATGATGTTGGTTTTATCTTCTTTCGCTGTTGAGTCTTTTGGTTGACATAGAACTGAGTGAAGTGACTTTGTTGGTTTGTGTATGACGTCAAATCCTAAAGGTTTGAAGAGTCTACATCATCTACAAAATAAATTGTATCAACTGCGAAAAACACTACATTGGCCAAACTGGACGTCCCCTTCGTCTTCGTATCCATGAACATAAGCTAGCTGTCAAAAGACATGATATCCACTCCCTCATATCACTACATACAGACAACTACGGACATCACTTCGACTGGGACAATCAACCTTCAAATATTAGACAGAGGAAACAACAAGAATGCTAGAGAAATTTTAGAAGCTTGGCGTTCCAGTGAATCATGAATCAATAGACACATCGAGATAGACAAAATTTATCAACCGATAAGAAAGAAACCTCACACACAAAGGGTCAAAGTTCAAGTCAAAGAAACAATGAGTGACAATACAAGTAACCTAGAAGGTGTGAAAACACACAAAAACAACCCATCACGCTCAAGGTCACCACCGGGAGAGATGATTAATAAACTCGTGGAGAAATCTAAAAGCTCACTTCAATTCAAATTGAAGTATGCGCTGAAGATGTCACCTAGTAGGGTGATGAAAGCTTCGCAAATTAACTATCCAGCTCAGAGAGAACAACCACATCAAAATATCTGAAGATGATTATCATATTGTTTGGTTGGTGCTGGCTATCTGTGGAATCTATGACACACGTTTTAAGCTATTTGGATGTCGTCAGTTAGACGTACCCGTATCCTCAGTGAATGATAATAATGTTCCCAACAGGATTCGAACCCAAATCAAAATCGAAAGCATTATGCACTAGATCAACTGTTGGCTTGCATGACTTACTAGGCTAACATAATCAACGTTTCGGCGTATGAAACGATAGTTACTTGATCAGAGTCACACTGAAAAAACTATCGCTCACTGGAGATGCAGTTAAACTCTAGCTAACAAGGACCACAAATAGGATAAAACACGCGAGCTGAATTCCACTATTAAACACCAATCAACTATATATCAAAAAGCATACTTTACACGAAGTTGTTTCGGTTGATGGCATCGAGCAGGAATCCAGGATCATTTTGAGGCCACATAGAATCAGGTGTGCGTCGGCAGGGGATCGAACCCTGCATGGTCGGCGAAGTCCTAACGCATATTTCTTACAATTTGCGATTCATCCGGTGGATGAACCTGTAGCCCAGATGACACTCGAACCTTGAATCAATCGTCTTAAGAGCTTCAGCGGGTAATTCTTTCCAGATGACGGATCCACCAACGAAACTAACTTCACACTAATCTCTAGACATGTGAGTCAGTGGCGTAGGGGTAGAATGCTCGCCGACCACGCCTCATGTGGTACGGGGTTCGATTCCCGGCCACAGACGCACTATTTTACCTTAAATAAACCAGTAATAAGAGGGAAGGTTGGCTTGGTATGAGGCTAGCAACCCCATCCCGTAAAAGTAATAAACACCACTGCTACCGGAACGGAACTTCAAGCCTCTAGCTTGAAGGCTCCCTATGTTCCACTGGGAACGTCAAGGAAGAAAAAAAATTGTTTTTTTAAATCTCTAGACATCATCAAAGTATCTGTAACTACGAGCTGACATTTCAACAGACACTGACCATTTTCATCCAACAAAATCAAGCAATGCAAAAGGAAATGCAAATTACACAAAAAAAGAAATGAGGCTTACAAAAGGCTTAAAGTGTTATAAAAAACTTACACGTTGTGCTGCTTGTAGTATCTGACTAATTTGATGTGATGAATCTTTGAATTGTTCAAATGCTTGATGATAGAAATTTGACAGCATTCGCATTATCAAGCTTATCTAAATTTAATTGAAAAAAGAGAGAAGAAGAAGACAATACGAGTTGAAGACATGAAAAGGTTGACTGTTTTTGATCATAGATGTCTACGATCTCTTTCTCACGTTAGGTGGCATAATAAGGTAAGTAATGTTGACGTTAGGCGTAGAGTGTGGTTGGGCAAAGAGGAAAAATCAATCGAAGAGGCTATAAAGTTACATAGATTGAGATGGCTAGGTGACGTGCTGCGCATGCCTAACCATCGCCTCCCCCACCCCGACGGGCATTACTAGCTGATATAGGTGCAGGTTGGAAAAGAGTAAGTGGTGACATGCCAAACAAAAACATGGCCTCATCAATCCATGAAATCCTTGACAGTTAAACTGAGTCAGGTAGGGAGGGAGATGCAGACTTCCGGGTTGGGCCGCCCTCGAGACTCTAAGAATCAATGGCTGGAGACAATAGGTGGTGACATGGCTCAAAATCGTTGTCAATGGCTTATGCAGATGTATTCAGTCTCTCGTGTAATCTTTCCTATTCCTTTCTACCATTACTCATCATTCTGTTTCACTCTTATACTTGTCAAAACTCTATTGATTCTCTTCATTCATCTTCTTGTCTACTTTTATGTGCTATTTGGCACGTGGCAACTGGAACTGCTGCACTTCGGTGCCAAGTTCTATGTTGCATCCAGACAGACAGACAACTGAAAGAAGAAGACGAAAATTATTGAAGAGAAAAAGAAATAGACAAAACAATGAGAGAAGAGACCACCTTTTATGAAGAAGGTAATACTTGAGAATGGCTATCCATCACGCTTTATAGACAATATACATAATTGTATATAACTGTAAAGCTTGATCACCAAGAATATTTCCAACAGGTTGTAGACCTTTATCAACAACTGTCTTCGTTCTTTACTCAAGATTAGAAGGCCGGAGAGAATCACCAACAAGAAACTATGGGAACAAACAAAACAAGAACCAATCACCCAACAAATATGCAGGAGAAATTGGAGATGAATTGGACACTCACTGAGGAGGCCGCTGGGTGACATCGCGCGTCAAGGCGGTGCTCGGATGGAACCCGAAAAGGAAGCGGCGAGTGGGACGTCCAAGGGTGACATGGAGGAGATCGTGTGAAGAGGAACTGAAACAGTATGGACTAACATGGATGCAAGTGAAAAGTGCAGCAGAAGACAGAAGCAGCAAGAGGAGACGTGCAGTTGAAGCCCTATGTTCTACTAGGAACCCACGGGAACAATAATAATAATATATATAATAAAAAAGCTTGATAATGAATCTTTTGAGAAAAATAGAAATAGAAAATTGATTTCCACCACGTTTCATAGACAAGAATATACAGTCGAATCCTATAATATGTGATTTATCATCCGTACCCATGAAAATACTCTACAAAGGTGACTTCGATTCCGATCCGATATCACAAAAAGAAGGATTTCACAGCTCCTGAAAAGAAAATCCCCTGTATCGTTTTAAAAGCCAAAGCAGCATTATTCGCTAAACCACCTAAGCTACTACTTCTTGTGTGTTAGTAGTAACCAGTGTTGGTTTGCAAGGATCTGGTCTTTTACAGATTTCATCGTGAGCTGACATCAGTAAGAGAACACTGTTAGAAAACTAGCTAGCTGTGTTTTCCTAGTTTGAGACTCGTCATCTCACTAGGCACCCACCACGGGGAGGGGGTTCGAACCCACAACCTTCCGGTTAAAAAGAGAGCTCGTAGACTATTTATTCAGCCACTGGGAGGTCAACATGTCGGCTCTCGTAGCCCAGTGGACAGTGCTTTGACACTGGGATTCAAGTCTTAGTGGAGACACTATCACTTGCTGGAGATTGTCCACTAACTGATGAGTGCCTAGAGGGGTGAAATGTGCATCCTGGATTCTACATTGCCATTGTCACCATCCTACCAAATGAGTGTTTACCTTATAATTTTTAAAAAGAAATTAAATTTCGATTTAAAATCAACAACTTTCTAAAATAGATAATCTTGTTGTCCCAAAAAATGAAATTTTGTACTAAATGTCTACAGATTTCCATAGTTGTAAGTAAACAAGTAAGTAAGTCATTGCGAATCGGTGGGTGGGCAGGGGTTGGGCTGGAGTTTATTATGAAAATAAAGTAAACATACATTCACATCTACACACACACGCACAGTTGCACAATATAAAATCAACAGTTCACATCAGATCATTAACTATGCAGAGGAACTGACTGCTTCTAGAAAAACAAACCGACAAAGAGAAACAAACTTCGCAAACGACAATAATAACAGGGTGGAAGGAAGGAAGAAAGACATCAATCACTATAATGGATACCAAGTGAAAAGTTGAACCACTCGGTGGTTGCCCCTACCCCTCTCCATGCCCTACACCATCTTCATCAAAACGACTAAACACTGTGTTTTTTACAATTAATGAAATTCTCCTCCAAATTTAAAAGAAAAGTTAACTGATGTGCTAAGTGTAGCCTCTATTTTTTAATGAGAGAGATTTAAAGTGTGTAAAGGAGTTTGCGCGCTTCTATCAAATCAAATAATTAATTATTGAACATAAACACTAAAAAGAAAAGATTGTTAATTTCACCGCTAATTAAGTTTGTCTACAACGAATATTCAGTTGTATGAAAATTGTTATTTTCGGTTATTTAGATGGACTAAGGCAACTGTTATGTGTGTTGTTATGAGGATTTTAGGAAATTGTTTGATATCAAAGTAGTTGTGATTACTGATTATCGATATACATTTGTAACGACAGGAGCCAAGAGCCAGCAAAACAGATCGTTTATTGAGGAAATCAACAGATATTTATAGATTTTTATGTACATTATTATTCTGATTGGTTGTTTTCTTGCTGAAGGTTATTCTGTCATCTCTTTGTGGCCATTTCTTTGAAGGTCAGACCATATATCTGAGAATTGTATCCACCCACGCAAAGTCTATCGTGATTGGTTGTTGAGTTAGTCTTGGTTCTTGTTTTCTCATACCAAGATATAGGACGTAAACATTGACGTAAATTGCTGTCTATCAATTTCGGCTAGCAGACAGCTCTCACCACACAATGATCAGTTGACTGACCCTTGTCTTCTGTTGTTACAGAGGTAGTCAGCAGGAAGCTTTTAACCCCGATTTCATGCTTCTTAGCACTCACCAGTCAGTCAGCAAGGTGTATCTGTAGTCTTCAAGGAACTCATATCCCGCCTGAAATTCAAACCCAAGTCTCCCAGTATCTCAGTCAGAGACATTACCACTGAGATATTCGAGCTCTGTCTCCCACTAACTGAAAGTCAAATCTCCATCTCCACAACTGATTCGTACAAATGAATTTACACAAATTCCACTAAAATTTCATTCATAAACATTATGTGACTGACTCACTGAAGCCAAAGTTTACACTTAATTTTTTTTACATCTTTTCACGCAGCACATCAATTTGTCATAAAATAAAGGGAAAACAAACTTGAAATAAACATAATAAAAAGTTCCCGCTTATCCACCTAATCAGAGTAATAATAATAATAACAATAATAATATAATGAATACATTCCTTCTTAGACTAAACAAAATGATCCACAAAAAGGTGTATTACTACAGCTAAAAGCTAAAGTACCAAGGTCTAGCAAATTTAATTGTCTTAGCAGAACAAACACACGAGCGCATGCAGACACACAAATACACAGACACACATACCACATAAGTCATCTAGGAAATAGAAAGGCACACAGACTAGAACATAAATAAAAAAATACGTGCTTCCAGCACCAATATTTCACATAAGTCATGAGCGTAAAAAATGTCTTCCACATACATACTTTATGTATATATACAAAATAATCGTGAAGGTATTAACTACTGTGACAAGTTAGTGTACAATCATATTATGTATGTGTGTCTGTCTATCCTCTTTTTTTAATTAACCCGGGTAATTTTAGTACACAAAAATTGGTTGATTTAAACAAAACACATACTTTAATAGTAATAATTTTCATTGCTCATATTATAAACATAAAAAGTATACAAGTAATAAACGATGTAAGACAATTAAATACTACTGAATAATTGATGTAAGTAGTTGAATACCACTCATACAAACCAGGAGTGCTTACAAACAAGCCAAATCGAAGTGTTTTTAACACCGGACGACTGACTCAGCTCTCTGAGCTAGTTCAACTCAAATACGCAACTGAAGACCTCCACTCACAACGAGCGAAACGGTCATCTCTTGATTAGAACACTTCGATATGGTTAGTTAGCAAGCACTACTAATTGTCGATGTGACTGATGTCCATCTACTGATTTCAATCAAACAGTAGTATATATTGCGTCGTGAATTGATGCTCGGTTTCTTGATTGCTATTTGTGGTATCAAGCAGATCAAGCCATGATGTGAAAATTTTCGTTTTCCAAAAGAAACTGTGTGTTTGTGAAATTTAACCTAGAGCTGTGCAAATTGGAAATCACGAATTTTCGGTTTAAAGTATGAGATGGATTTAAACAAATGGGGTTCAGTTGGGAATACATTTTGAAATAACAATATTAACAACTCTGTTAGTAACATAAATTATTGTTCAGTGGACATCATTAGTACTCGATAAAAAATTTATTTCGGGGGAGAAGCATTTTACCCTCAAATTGATTATTTTTTAATGAATTCATTCTTTTTTTGAAGCATTTGAAGGTCATTAAAAAAAAGGGGAAATTTTTTATTCTGCTTATATAGATGGCAGTATTACGTCAGCAGAATAGCGCAGCATGGAGAGCTTTAGAACGAAAAACTAAATGCTCGCGGTCTAATCCCAGATTCCGGAGACTGTTGGCATATTAGTGTATCGGTGCTTCAGAGTGATAGACTGCACGCCAGCGAGACATGCATGTCGTCCGGCCTGGATTCCCAACCGACGCGCTGCAAAATCTCTCTTTACCGGTAGTAATCGAGGAAAAGAGGGATGGTTGGGTGTGAGGGGAACAACTGTAACTCTTGAAAAAGAACACCAGCGCTACT